CACACACACACACACACACACACACACACACACACACACACACACACCCTTCTCCCTTAATCCTGCTGGGAATGCCAATGAAAACTCCAATCTCCACCTGAAATTCTTTTGAAACACCATCAGACATTGCTTCTTTCCTACCCAGCACTGCTGGAAGACTCTCCCTGAAGTGATGCCTTTATCATCAGCTCTGTCCTCCGCTCATGACCAAATAACCCTACTGCCTCCAATACGTCACCTAAATGCTGCAGCCCTGCTTTTCAGGGCCTTCCATCCGCTGAGCTCACTCGGATCTCGGATCTCCCTGGCGGAAAGGCCCCTCAGCCTCTCCTTATATACGGATCCAGCAAACCACTTCTCTGCTTTCATGATGTGAACATCTAGCCCACAACCAACATGAAGCACCTCTTGACTCCCTTCACTATATCTGCTCCCCATGCCCTGTGGCCTTGTGCGGACCTCCATTACAGCACTCACCAAGACCTGGCAGAGCTGTGTGCATATAGGCACCCCAGTGACTACGAACTATACGAGACCGGGGCCCTGTCTTCATTAATGCTATGTCTCTAGAGACATTATCTGTGCATCTGGCACAGGACTTGGCAGACATTAGAGGCGATGATTAAGTGTTGAGTTGGCTCCCAGAGAACGGTGTACAATAATATAAATACATATTTTACAGTGAAGATAAACCAAAAAGCTAGGTTAATTATAAAAAAGAAATTTTAGGGACGCCTGGGTGGCTCAGTCGGTTAAGCATCTGCCCTCGGCTCAGGTCATGATCTCAGGGTCCTGGGATCAAGTCCCAACTCTTGATTTCGGCTCAGGTCATGATCTCAGGGTGGTGAGATCAAGCCCTGCGTCAGCTCCTCACTGGGCACAGAGTCTGCTTGAGAGTCTCCCTCCCCTTCTCCCTCTACCCCTTCCCCTGCTCGTGCGTGAACGCATGCTCTCTCTCTAAAATAAATAAATCTTTAAAAAAATAACGAAAACTGCCTATCCAATCATTATAGCTTCACAATATGCAACCTCATGTAAAATCAGAAAGACCTATTCAGTGTCCCTAGAACATGCCATACTATTCTGTCTCTGGGCATTCTGGTGTCGGTGTTCCTGACCCAACAGGCCTTCATATCCACCCCTCCTCATATTAATATAATTCAACTTTTGAGGTCCTGCTCATCATCTTTCCCTCCTTTTTTATGTCTTCCATAACAATCCAGCCACCCCAGATATCCCACCTTCTCTGAAATCTTAGGAAGATACATACTTAAGTACTAAGTTTATTTAGGCCTACCTTTCCCCACCAAGAGACTTGAGAAGGTTCCTAGCGCCGAACTCTAAGTTAAGAATTCAGAAGAGGGAATTCATGTACAGGAAGGAGGTTAGCTGGAAAAGCTTCCAATGCTACAGATTTTAGCACTAACCTGTGAGTTTTCATTTTATCCAACAGCTAGACTTTGAGTTCTCTGAAGGAAGGGACCATACTTTAGGTTCTTATTTCTCACAGTGCCTAGTGTATGGCTGGACACAACAAATACACTTTCTAGATGTTTTAATTGATTTGAGTCCCAAAGTTTTACCTTTTTCATCCCAACTCCATCCTGTATCTGGAGAAGGAAGTCTAAGGTCTGATCGTCCGTGAAATACCCAGGAGTAGGCTGGCTGCAAAGGAGAACAAAGTAAGCGATGAGGAGTGAAGCAGAAGAGGAAATCAAGGACTTCTTTCTCCCTCTCCTGCACCACCCCAGATATCAGGCAATTGTTCTGGGCAATTTTTTTAAACGTGGGAAAGCAGATCAAAAGAGCAGCCCACAGGAGGCGCACACAGCAAACCTGTGCAGGCCTTGCAGGCTCAGTGTCCAGGAAGGTGTAAGATTTTGCCCCCGAAGCAGGACGAGGCTTTGTCTGGTTGTAATCAGGAGGTTGCTGCTGTTGGAATCAGGTGCCTTCACCATCTGGAGTAGCTCAACACCGTCGCTGAGTTAAACAAGACCCAGTGGTTAGTCTCCAGCTTGGATGAGATTCCGGACCCACAAGTTGGGGCTCTTTCTCTTGGGCTACGTGTTTCTATATACTCTTGTATTCAACTTCCACTGTTATCTTATCGAGGGGGGCACTCTGTCGTTCCAGCTGAATCTCATTTTAGACAGCAAGAATCCCTAGAAAATTCATGCAAGTTCAAAAGGAACTCCCAGGGGAAGGGCTGCAGAGCCAGATCTCTCACACTGGATACTCTGGGGAGGATAACAGAGCCAATGGTAATGGCAGGGGAGGCAGACGGAGACCTGGAAAGGAGGCCTGAGACTGTCACTAAGCTTGCACAGCAACTCACGGTCTACACTGCTTCGAATTATTTCTTTTCCTGGACAACTGGAACCATTCGATTTAACACCTGCCCAATTCACTGAAACAATGTGATACTGTCTGAGAAAACGCTAGAAAACGATCTGAAATTTCTGATAGAAGAGAATGAAGACAATCACTACCCAGGCCTGGGGTTAAATGGGTAAAATCCACTGCATGTGACAAACGACATGCTTTTGATTAAGAAATAAACAAGAATAAAAAATAAGATTCCATGGATGCTAGCTAGCCTTGCTCCTGCCAAAATGATTCTTCAACTAAGAGAAAGACACAGAAAAAGAGTAGGGCAGATACTTCAGTTTTACAGGCAGGTTTTTTTACATAAATCTCTCTCCTTGCCTAAAGGTCTCCCCATCTCAGCCTGCCCCGCTCTGACTCAGAACCCTAAACAAATATCCTTCTTTGCAGTCTATGTGCAGAGTGATCACAAATCACGATCACCAACACACAGCCATCAGCACCGTATGTTACCAAGAAAAAAACGTCTCTAACTCACCAGATCGGCAGATGGTATATTAAGGCTAGCACTGTTTCCCCCCAAACCTCTGCCCCCTTATTCACCGGCCCAGTTCAAACGTGGGGACTCCATAGCTCGTGAGATCTCAGGAGACTGAACTGTGACAAGGTCAGACATCTGCCCTACCTGTAAATGTCAATGAGCTCAGACAGGTTGATGGATCTTCGTTTCTCCCATTCTGGCTCTTCTATCTGCAGAGAAGGTGGTAAGCTGTCTCGATTTTGGGCCTGAACAAAAATGTCCCGCAGGGCGACAGCTTGGATATTTCCTAGCACCACAGGAAGAATCAACACTGAGAAGCTGAATTTACTAGAACTCTCCCAGGGTGAGGATCTGAGCAAGAGACACAGAGCCTGATCAGATGGGTCTCACAGGGGCCCCTGGGTAGCTCAGTCAGTTAAGCGTCTGCCTTTGGCTCGGGTCATGATCTCAGCGTTCTGGGATCGAGCCCCACATCAGGCTCCCTGCTCAGTGGGGAGCCTGCTTCTCCCTCTCCCTCTGAGGCTCCCCCTGCTTGTACTCTCTCTCTGTCAAATTAATAGATAAAATCTTTTTTTTTTTTTAAAGATTTTATTTGACAGAGAGAGCACAAGCAGAGGGAGAGAGAGGGAGAAGCAGGCTCCCTGCTGAGCAAGGAGCCCGACGTGGGACTCGATCCCAGGACCCTGGGATCATGACCCGGGCCAAAGGCAGCCGCTTAACTGACTGAGCCACCCAGGCGCCCCTAGATAAAATCTTTATAAAAAAAAAAAAAAAAAAAAAAAAAAGGATGCATCTCACAGAGCCCACCCAGACTGGTTGAACACGGAGTGGGTGAGGGATGAAGGAAATGCTGGACAAAGAGTATTCTCTTTGGAGAAGGCAGCCGGGGAAAGCAGAGCGAATAACCAGCCATCCGTGGGGGAGACTGAGAGGCCCCTGGGACAGGAGGTGGCAAAAGGGCTGGGGTCAGCAATTCCCGAGCTTTCACTCTGTCTCAAAAGGGAGGCCTACCACACACACAGATGGGGAACGGCAGCAAAACTAGCTTTGCTTCTTACCAAAGCCAAACAGGATGTAGACAGCCCCATTTGTGGTGACATAAACCTGAGGACCAATCAGATTCCCCACTCCCACGATGTTGTACTTCACGGGTCGGCCCACGGGACTCCCTGTCCGGCCAGACACCAACAGAAAGCACAGATCTGGCTGAAGAAGTGAAAAAACGGAGTCAGTAGATGCCCTATCACTTCCTAACCAAGTAGTTTCTCCAAAAGTCACTGCTTTCTCTTTAGCTAAGGGTTCAGAAACACTTCGCAAAGTTAGAAAGCACAAAGCCAAACCTGCTTCACTCTTTTTCCCCTGGAAGTAAGAAAATGAAGCCATCGTTCCCATTCCCTTGGTAGATATGTGCAAAAACCATCTTTATGGTAGCCTAGGCAATTTCTCTGAAGCACGGTTGTTGCTTGATGAACAGTCTTCTGAGGCACAGAATTCTAGCCCAGTGTTAACTACAGACAGCTGACTCCTGGTCTCTACTCTCAAACCCAGAAATCCCCAGTAATATTTGGTCCCAACTAAAATCAATACAGGCAGCCTCTCCCATCATAACATTACATGCCTAGCCTGCCTGGCTGCTATCAGCCTTACTCTCGAGCAGAAATCAACAAACCTGTCCTGTGAAGAGTCAAATGGTAAATAAACATTGTAGGTTTTGTAAGCCAGATGATTTCTGAAGCAACTAGTCAACCGCCATGGCATGAAAGCAACCATGGATAATAATAAATGAATAGGCACTGACTGTGTTCCAATAAAACTTTATTTATAAAAACAAGCAGTGGGCCAAATTTGGCCTACAGGTCACAGTTTGCCAACTCCTGCTCTAGAGCGTTTTCTTTTAGGAATAGAGTCACCAGTTGGGAAATAACGAGAATTGTAGTGATATCCTGACTTCACTAAAGCTTTTGACAAAGTTTAGCATCATGAATTCTTTTGGACAAGATAAAAAGATACAGTTTTCAGTGTACCCAGAGTGAGTCAATGTCAATCCAGAGGGAGGTTTCTGTGGAATGTCACAACACCCTGCTATATTGTCCCATTCCTACTAATCATTCTTATCAAGGACTTGAATATATAGCTTATCTCAAACTTATCACAAAGCTGAAAGGGATAGCTAATACACTGTATGGCAAATTCGAAATTCAAAGAAGTCTTAGGCTTGGAAGATGAGTCAAAATCTGAAAGAAGAAATGGGGCCATTAATTAATTGATTAATTAAAAGGGGTGGGTGCTTTAACCCATTACAAAAAAAACTAAATCTCAGAAAGGCTATCACAATCTTCAGCTGCATTAGTAGAAATATAAAGCCTATATCAAAAAAAGTAACAACTTCCTTACATTGATATAACTGGTCATATCACAAATAGAATACTGTTTTCAGATACAGGTACAACATTTCAAAAGAGATATGGATAAAATGGAGTGCAAAGGGAAAGAAAGCAAGAAAGAGAGGGGTCTAGATTTCATGTTGCATGGGGGACAGTATAAGAAATTGGGGGTATTTAGCCTTGGGAGTAGCAGGCTTAGTAGGATGAGGCTAAGGCTAATGGGCTTTTATGTAGAAAGAGGATTAAGATTCATTCAAAGTAGCTGAAGCTGGAATAGTGAGTAGAAGCTATGAGAAAGCAGAATTCTCACCAATATGACAGAATTTTCTAGACCTGACCAAAAATGAAATGAACTGTCTTACAAATCAGTGATATTCCCATTAGCCTGAGGACTCAAGGAGAGTCCAATGTGTCTGGAATACTGTATCAGAGATTATAACATGGTGTGAGAGGGTCAACCACATGGCTTTTGAGGTCCCTTCCCACTAACGTTCTAGGCCAGATCAGTTTCTCTAACCCCAAACCATCAGTTCCTATGTCCCAAGCCCACCTCACTCTAAACCCAGATCTAAGAATGCAATCACTCTAAATCATAGACCTAATAGGTTCCATTCGTTAAGAAGAGAGAGCCTTCCATACTGTAGCTTAGAGTAAACCAGAGCTCAGGTTCCCCAGGTTCTTTGTTGCTGGCATTAGAGGTCAAAAGAGGTCAGTATAAAGGTGAGGCTACTGCTCTAAACCCATTGCTTCTCTAAGATGTTTCTAGTACTATCACATTTCAGACAGAATGGAGACTATTCATATCTCTACACTATGTGTAAATAAGTAAATTCAGTGAGGCAAGTTGGAGAGTACACTTTTTCTGCTGTTTGGTTAGGACCAAAAAAAAGCACAGAGTAGGAGTAGGCAAGAAGCCAGGTCCTCTAATAGAGGCTGCCTCACTGTGGAGGGTCCCTAAAAGCCTGAACCTCCAGCCTGGCAACCACCACTGGCTAAGAAGAAGCCAAACAGGGTATGAACGCCAAGATTTTTAAACTTGCTCGGGATATATAAACTTGTTCAATTTCTTGCTATGCCTCTGCTAACCATACTTCATTAAACCATTAAAAAGAAACACCCCATACTTTCCACTTTGGGACCTTCAGATAGTCACTCCCTGATGGAATTATTGAAATTTTCCCTAGACCCTGGTCTCTTTATTCACAATGATTGGGATAAAAAAAAAGATTATGTAAATAACTGAGTTTTTGGTTCAATCTACTTTGAGACCAACTTGCTAGTGGAAGGAAAACTAACAGAAAGCACCCATCAAACTAGCCCTCAGAAATTTACCTTACTTCTTTGTTTTCATCTTACAAAGTATCACCAGATGTACTAGAGCAGTGCTCCTCAAAACTTGGGATTGGGGAAGCACTTTCAGTTTGTTTCTGGTGCTCCTGGCAGAAAACCATAAAATACTGATAGATTTCACTCTGTTCAAAATCATTTTACTTGCAGATTTTATAACTCTACTCCATGTATATGCATTACAAAAATCACAAGAGCAAACACAAGGTCTCTTAAAATTAAAATAAGCTATCAAATAAAGCAAAATGATCTATATCCACATTTTTCCACAAATATTATCTGCTGATTGTTCAATTCTTTTGTCCACAAGCAAAATTCCTGGCAAACTCACATAGGAAGTCTGAGAAAAAGTCTTAAAGGAACTTTGACACAAGCTCGAAGGAAAGTGTTAGGAGTAAAAACTTAAAATGGAGATAAATCTGGTCATTAATGTATTCTTTCCTGTGATTTAGGAAGGAAAACTACTATTATTTTATTTGTGCACAGAATAACTAGTTCTAGTACACTGGAGCTCCAGCAAAGCATAATCAAGGTGCATAATTTAAGGCCGAGTGTACTGGACTCAAAGTCTGTATTGTCATAGCCTGTGTTACAACTATTCTTTCTTAGGACATTGTTGTTATTATTCAATGTATGATGTTTCCCATATATATTGGAGGAACTGTCTTATTGTTTTATATAAAGGTTAACTATATATACTATAACTAACAATACACCCACACGGTAAAAAATAGGCACTACTTTAGGCACTTCATATATGTGAGCTCCAACCTTCACAACAACCCTGTACGTAGATAGAACATCCCCATGTTCTATCTTGGAGACAGTCCATGGCTTGCCCGAGGCTACAGAGCCACAGTGGAGCAGGAATGTAAACACAGAGCTCTCTGGCTCCTAAGCTCCACCATGCCACAATCAATGAGAACATAATGAGACTGCCGGGAAAATGAGTTCATGATGGCAGTTTATTCATTAAATCTCCCAGAGAGAATTTTCTTAAACCTAAGCCCTTGTAAAAAGGTTTCAAGCAGCATTTATAATACCAACACTAGGAACTGACTGAAGTTGAAGCACGTCCTGCGAGAAACGGAGACCATTTAATGTAGAGCATACCTGCAATTCCCCGATGGCCAGAACGACAAGATCTCTAACGCCATCTTCATCCAAGTCCGGCAGCACCACCCCTGGGGCAGCCAGGGTACCATTGGATAAGTAGGTTGGGTTTAAAGTCCAAATGGCTTTCCCTGGGGGGGGAGGGGGAAATAGGCTGATCACAATGACAGCTTTTGGCCTCTGGAAAAGGCAGATGCAGTGCTCCTGGGTCAGAAGAGAGAAACTCAGTGGGCAAATGACAGATAGCAGACCCCATCTTTTCTTTTAGTTTTAATCTTACTGAGGACGAAGGCAGCAGGGAGTGTGAGCTGAAATCCTCAAGTGTCTGACTAATAAACCCATGTGATAACATCACACCTAGGTTTTTTAGATAAAATGGAGGTGCTGAAGTCTCTCCAAGAAAGAGGAGCCCACTTGTCTGGGGCAGAGGCATTGATCTGTTAGAGATTATTACAACTATTAAGGAACCGTCTACGGGCAGCCAACCAGACCGACTCTCTTTCCTACCACGTGTTCACACGAGCAGGGAAATTGTAGGAGGTTTTCCAAATGACATCAGTTCTGGGGTTCACTCACATTTAAGTTTTTTTTTCACTCAGAATTACCCCGCTACCAAACTCCAACCTCTAAAACTGGGAAGGTTGCTATGCATTCAGCTTCGGTCGAGTCCAAAGCATTAACAAGCAGTACACTTATGGTTTTGCACAGGGCCTTCATTATATTTGATTCTCTCTCATTCCTCATGTCATGGGTGTCTAAATACAGTAAGAAGGTAAAAGGTCAAATCAAGATGCATCAACAAACCTCAGTATCTTCCCTGACCCTTGTTTTAAATGGTTAACGGCCAGGTTTCCCCCTGGACCCCATCTATATCAAATATGAAGAGAGAAAGCGCCGTTGTCTTTTGCACAGAGGAGGAGGACTACTCAGAAGCCAAAGCTTCAGGGTAGTTTCTGTTTGGGTAACTCAGTTTAGTCCCATCCTATCACCAGACAGGTTTGGCCATGATCTATTACTCAACCTAGTCAACCCCTTCCTCTGTTTACCCCCAATCCCCCTTCCAAAGGAGGAAAATCAGACTTCCCACCATGTGAGAGCGGAAAGGTCCCTTCCCTACGAGACTGTTCTGATCCGAGATTACGGCTCACTGGGACAGAGACTTTCGTGGAATGATCTTTACCTGATGTCGCATTGAATGCACTGAGCATCTTGTGTGTCCCTGTCACAAGGCAGATGGTTTCAGCCACGCTTCCTGGCATCAGATCCAAACATGTTATATCCCGGGCCTCCTCGGGGAAGGTACTTGACCAGAGTGTGCTGCCATTCATCCCCGAAAGGCACACCAGAATAGCAGCTGGCTTTGAGACACCTAAAAGCACACAAGAGACACAAGAAAGGAAAAGAGGCAGAGAAGGTAAATAGTCCAGGTGAGCAGGAGGCTGGAAAACCACAAGTAAAGGGTGCTAAGGCAGCAACTCACACCCGTGTCTTCCACAGCCTCCCATATTCCTGGCACCAAGTGAACAACAAAGCACCTATCATATCTGCTCAACACATTCCTCATGTCAGACAAGATGCTGTGGACCTCCTCCAGGCCACCCTGTGTGCATCCTGCACCCCTCCCAGCACGCTTGCTTACATGTCTGTCACCTCAGCTCCCACTAAATATCCTAAATACCCTGAAGGATTAAGACTATCACATTCATTTCTGTAGCCTCAGTGCCTCGCAACACACCTAGCACATACAGCGACCAAGCAATCATTTGCTGAATAAAAGACAGGAGCAAAATCCAGAATATGGGAAAGTCATTGCTGAGAACAGCAACAAAAAAAAAAAATCAAAAGGGAAAGGCATGCTCAGAAAAGTAAGACTGATCTAGAACATGTACAGAGCAGGGAGCAAAGGAATCCCCGAATTCTAATTGTTGCTAGCAAGTTGCTCCCTAAAAGCAGAAAAAGTAAATGTTTTAAAAATAAACCTGAAGATTACAACTTAGTAGGTCTTCCTGGTCTAGAGTCCCATGGAATCCGCTGACACAGCCTCAGTAGTTTCCCAAGAATACTTAGGAAAACGTAAGGGCCAAGGATATGAACTCTAGAGACAGTCTCTCAGCTACACCGTTTGGATCCCAGCTCTACCATTTACCAGGTATGGAACTTTGAGCCAGTTCCCTAACCTCCCTATGTCTCAGTTTCCCCATCTGCAAATGGGGGATAAGAATATTAGTCTACCCCATAGGATTATGTGGAGGGATAAATTCATTCATAACATTTGTTATGCCCTTATACTAGTGCGTTGCCTACAGGAAGTACCATAGATTAGCTGTTATTTTTATAATCTGTAACCAAATCAGGCTGGTCCGTGTGGTGTCCAAACCCACAGCCTTGCCATACGAGTCCTCATAAACAGCAAACTGTGTAAAATATCAAATGATTAAAAAAAAAAAACTCCAAATCTAAAAGCGGATGGGGAAAATTTTTTACTTCAAAGGCTAATGAGTCATAGGAAGAAAAAAAATGTAATTAAAGTCTATTAAAGCCAAAAGTCAACCTTCTAGGCTGAAGGTCCTCTCTGTAAACAGATCTATTCCTAAATTGCTTCTACATATTACACAAGACTCAGAAAGGTACTTCTAATAACACCAGAGAAGCAGGCAGCCTAGAATTCTCTAGAACATACCTAGATGTTTATCCCAGGGCCTGGATGATTAAAAAGTAGCTACTAGGGCATCCTCAGCCTCAAACCAGAGTTACTCTATCAGTTTACAGACTGCAGGGTACGCCCGCTTTAATGGGTGCTGCAGGACAAACCAGGAGCCCCCATGTACCTATGTTGAAAATGCAACCTCTTTTTTTTTTTCCAGTTGATGTGTATCAGCACACTCAATTAGGTTAAGTTGTGTAAGGTTTAATAAAGAGATTATTTACAGAGATGTGGTCAGGTTGTAGAGAAACCATGAGGGATAGCGCAGTCCCTCAGAACAGTCCCAGGCCCAAAGAGACAGGAGAGGAAGTGATTCCTGGAATCCACAAAAAGAAAAGTCCTATAAGAATACCACCTTACGAGAGGATGTGACCTATGATCAAGAACGTAGGCAGCCTGAGGTCACCCTGGCAGGGAGGGAGCCAAGAGAACAAATACCCTCTCCTCACTCTCTTCTCCTCCTCCAATTTCTTGCCTGTGCTCCCTGTTGGCCAAACCTAACTAGAAATTGGTAGGCGAGGGAGCCTGTTGACATAATGCATACTGGTCAGCCTTCCAAAGCAGACAGCAGGATGGAGAGCAGAGAGGGAGGAGTAAATAGAAGCAGTAAAAAGAAAGCACCCGGCCAAGGTAATGTGGGTAAAATATTTTAGAACATGAACAAGAAGCTTTCTGCTGGGGATGGGAAGGTAGGATTGTGTCAACATTTACTATGATCTAAGAAGCAATGGAAAATTGGCTGGAAGAAAACACGAGAACCTTAAGAACTAATGCTGTTCATTGCAAGTGTGTGGACAAGTCTCTTCTTCTCTGGATCTCCCTTTCTTTTTTTTTTATTTATTTATTCATGAGAGACAGAGAAGCAGAGGGAGAAGCAGGCTCCCAAGGAGCAGGGAGCCCAATGCGGGACTCGATCCCAGGACCCTGGGATCATGACCTGAGCCGAAGGCAGATGCTTAACCATCTGAGCCACCCAGGCGCCCTGGATCTCCCTTTCTTCACGGGACTGGGTGACTACTAAAAGTTCCTTCCAGCTATGGATCTCCATGATTTCTTTAAATGAGCTTTACTTACATGCAGGAGCTTTCTGATAAGGTTTGTCATGTACGGTAGCCCCACAATGACTTTCTATTCACTCCAGACCCTTTTCTGCAGTGCCCGTCAGGAGACAACGCTGATGTTTTTCTCTTAGCTCACAGCCCCTCCAATCAGTGAGCCTGTCCAGTAGCAGCCTCTAAAAGACATGCATGTGTCTTACCAGTTGCACTCCCGTTCCTTGAAGTTACAAAGGAAAGAAGTACATCACGCAGGCCATCTCCATTCACATCAGCCAATTCCAATGGAGATAGGTCCGCACCTGATAAACATATCAAAAACAAAAAAGTGAAGAGTTAACTTTTTCTGAGTTAAGTCGCCACAAACGAGTTCTCTGTTCCATGTTAGAAAGGGAACAGACACATAGCACTGCCAGCACCTTCATAAACACCAAGCCGACTCCTGGTTCCTGGATAAGACAGAGTACACACAATTATGTCGATCCCTCCAAGTATAGTTTAACTGCCTGCACATTACAGAGAAAATAAATGTAAGAAGACTCCAGAAGGTGGGGAAAAGGTAGGCTGGCTAGGGACTGAGAAGCCCAAGGAATAACAAGGTGATGACTCCCCTGAGTTTTCTTTTGGCCTCATATGTCCCAGACAAGGTGCTACAGAAGCTGGCAACCCAAAAATGCCAACAGGTACAGACAAAAAAGGCCCAAGAAAAGCTGGCTCCCTTAGCCAAAGGTCCAAGAAAGGAACAGCAGAGCAAGACAGAAAAAGTTTTAGATGGTAACTGTACTACTCCAACCAAACGCCACACATATAGAACTGTGGCCCCAGACCCAGCCCCACAACAAAGGCTAAATGGGAGCCTAGATTTCTACCTTTGCCCAATCATAAGAAGGTACCCCTCCACCCCTCAACCAAGGTCATGTCAGAGAAGGCCAGGTGGGGAGCCGGGACTTTCCTCCCCACCTAGGGTCCTCCACACACAAGGGAAGCCAACAGTTCTACCCCACCCTGCATTAATGAGGCAGCCCCCCACCCCTGCCAGTGGTGTCAGAAGAGGCCTAGCAGGGAGCCTGGACTTCCAGCCTGGGCAGTGACAAGTAGATAGTGCTGTCCTACCCCTCAACAGTGTAGAGTCTAGAGGATGCCTGCCACATATGGAGAGAACTCAACACGTGGCTGGTGGAAGTGTAAATTGGCATAACCACTATGGAAAATAATTTAACATAAACTACTAAGATTGAACATGCACACACCCTATGACCTAGCAATATCAATCAAAAGTTAATGCCTGAGAGAAATTCTTACACATTGCATCAGGAAATACGCACAAGAATCTTCCTAACAGCATTATTTATTTTTTAAAAAATAGAGGCCACCAAAATGTTCATCAACAGTAAAATGGATCAATAAATCATGGGATATTCATACCATGGGAAATGAGACAGTAGTAAAAATGAATAAACTCTAGTTACAGTGCATCAATATTGATGAATCTCAAAAAATGCTTTTATAAACATGCTAAACAAAAAGCAAGTCACAGAAGACTGCTTAATTACATTTACATAAAATTCAAAATAGGCAAAATTATTTTATCATGTGGTAAAACTTTAACAAAAAGTAAAGAAATAATGACACAAAACTCAGGATACTGGAACTCTTTGGCAGGAAGAGGTGGCTTTGGTGAGGTTTCAAAGGTCTTTATAATGTCCTATTTCTTTTTTTTTAAAGATTTATTTATTTGAGAGAGAGAGAGAGGGAGAGAGAGCAGGAGTGGTGGGGGGAGGGGCAGAGGGAGAGGGAGAAGCCTCAAGCCGACTCCCTGCTAAGCATGGAGCCCAACACAGGGCTCAATCCCAGGACCCTGAGATCATGACCTGAGCTGAAATCAAGAGCCTGGTGCTTAACAAACTGAGCCACCCAGGCACCCCAATGTCCTATTTCTTAAACTGAGTGGTGGATACACCAACAATTTGTTCCTAGTTTTTACACCGTATATAAATATTGTAAGAGCTCACTTAGAACCATCAAAAAAGGGGCCTGGGTGGTTCAGTCAGTTAAGCATCTGCCTTCAGCTCAGGTCACGATCCCAGGGTCCTGGGATCCAGCCCCACATTGAGCCCCACGTCAGGCTCCCTGCTCAGCAGGAGCCTGCTTCTCCCTCTCCTCCCCGCTCATGCTCTCTCTCGCTATCTCTGTCTCTCTCTCTCTCTCAAATAAATACATAAATATTAAAAAAAAAAAAAACGACCAAAAAAGGAAGGAAGAGAGGGAGAGATCTCCTATGTAGTGGGAACATACTGTAAGTCACATCTACTCAGTTTTGCCTTGAGAGATAGTAACAGTGAGAACACAGAACTCATCCGAAGCTAAATCAACTAGGACCAGTGATATGTCAGAGGTAAAATACTTCCAGATCAAAATGATGTAGTGGTCTGGGAGTTTTGTAGAGGAGGGAAAATTTCTCCTCTACCCTCTTAGGGTTTCCAGCTGGGACTGAGTAACAAGACAGAAAATGAGATAACTGATTAATAAGACAGATTAACAAGAGGGAAGCATTCAAGTCTATTTAATGAGATTCTCCATGTCCATGGGAGCCCCCACTGAACATAAAGACCTAGAGCACAGGTGGCGAGGTCTCAGGGGCTTCTGTGCTCATTGAACAAAGAGGGGTAGCCCTGGAAAGGAAACCAACATGGACGAGGAGACTACAGGAAGGTAAGAGTTATTTTACAAGGTCTGTTTGCACAGATTCCCCTTGGCCTCAACTCCCCATCTCTGTTGATGAGAATGTTTCTTTCCTCCTGGTACAGGAAGGGCATCTTGCACATGGGAGTTTCATCTCCTGCTTCCAGGAAGAATTTAAAGGTCAAGGTTGGAGTGCCCTTCTTGCATCTGCTGTTATTCATGTGTCTTCAACTCACACAATATGCCAAAGCAACATATTTTGTGGTGGTACGTTCTGAACCCCTCTCACCCCAGTGAAGTTTACAAAACACAAGACCACTCAGCACTGACAGCTGAGATGTAATCCTTATTCCTGACCCAGAGCAAGCTGTTTTAAAGAAATCTGCTCCAGAATGAGACACAATAGCTAGAATTACTTGGGTGGCACCACCCCAACCATTAGGAGCAAGAAAGAAAACTTACTGCAAGAAAGCAAGTTCATTTTACTTGAAATTATTTTAAAATTCAAACTGGGTCAGGCTCCTATAATTGACGAATGCCTGAGGGTCCTACAAAATCCCTGGCCTTTGGTCTGGCCAGGCCTTGAGCCTTACTTTTCTCGGTAAACAGCCCTTCCTACGGCTTTGCTCTCCCCTAATACGGTGTTGGCTGCACAGCAGAGACCCAGCAAACCAATCCTCTGTCCTCTCTGCAACTAATTAAGACCAACGCCAATAGAAACACAACAGAGCAGTGATCTTCCCAAGCTTCTGGAGCTGTATCAATCTATCTGTTTTATTTCCAATCTTAACCTCCTAACCACCTTCACACACAGGGAGAGAGATGTTATATGACACACATTTATTTGTAAAGACCTGGAGGGAATTTTCCACGTAATCAGAAGTTTTATTGAATTACAGGTAAACACGAAATTTTACAGAATTAGGGCGAGAAATGCTACAACTCACCTCCCTGCAGGCCCAGGTGGCGGCTCCAAGTGCTGTGCAGATCTCGGGGGGGACAGGGGATCAGGAAAGCACATACGAGCACCAGGATCATGGAGATGACCAAAGTTAGCAGAAACACAGAGGTGCGCACATAAGACATGATGGAAGAGGTTGCCTTCTGCTCCAGGCCCCCAAGAGGTTCCGAGGGGTACCCCTCTGTGGCGACCTCTGAAAGATGTGGCTTTACAGCCCCCACAGCCTCGGCATCGGAGTCAGGCTCTGGCACTTCTCCCAGAGGGCTCTTCCCGTTTTTGACCCCTCCATTCTTCTGCTGCAAGTTGAGCACAAGATCATCCTCGCTCTCGTCACTATCGGCCTGTGTGAGGGGGTCATACTCCCCTAGGTCTGGGCTCTTCTTCCCTGAAACACAGAAGGACAGAGCGTCAGGGCGAACTAGGAAGGAGAAACCCTTACCAACTACATGGCAACTGTGGACACCTAAAAGAAAACACAGAAAACAAATTAAGTTTACAAGGTTAGCTCTTGATGGTTATCTGTAAGGAAAAGAATGGGAGGAGAATGAAAATCAGTGTTCTAGAATTACTGCTTTCACGAGCTTAAGAAAATTGAAAAGGAAACAGAGAAAGTGGTAAATTTCAAATATATTTTTATTTTTTTAATCTTTACTTTTTTTTTTAAGATTGTATTTATTTATTTGAGAGAGAGGGCACACAAGCAGGGGGGAGTGGCAGAGGGAGAGAGAGAAGCAGGGAGCCTAACAGGGGACTTGATCCCAGGACCCCAGGATCATGACCTGAGCTGAAGGCAGACACTTAACCGACTGAGCCACCCAGGCATCCCTTAGATACCTTTTTAGTTTGGAAACAAACAAACAAACAAAACTCTCTTAATTTGTGTGAATCTCACTAATGAAAAAGACATGGCTCTTATATCAACCTTCCATATGCCTAATGTGCGTATTTCCTTTGATTTTCTTAGATCTGTGATGTTCCAATCTTCCCTGGAACTTGCCTAAACTTTAGAATAATTGTTCTCTGTACACTGCTTCTCACAGTTAGATATTTGTGGCTTCCCAATTGTCTCCATGGAAACAACTTGGAAAGTTGAACACTAAATGTCACCTGGAGACATCTTACTTAAAACTCACTTCTGAGCTTCCTATGATTCTGATGCCCTGTCAGCACGTTTCAGTAAACAGTGTTTACCTTTAAAAATGCTATTCTGAGCAAGTATTCTAGGAGGGGAGGGAATCAAGCAGGAATGCAGAGCTAAAGGACCTGTCTCAAAGCTGGCCTCCACAACAAGCACCCTGTTTTTACTTAGACACTACATTTATTTGGGGTGGCTGAGAGGTGAAAATTATAGGAGAGTTTAAGCACACCTCCTCCCAAGCCATTCCCTGGCCCCCGCTGCCAAGGACTGAATGATTTTATGCCTTTTGTTCATGCTATAACCAAGCAAAAACCAAGAAAAGATTTCTGGTTTTAGAAATTACATGGTAGACTGTACTAATATAAACTATATATACTAAACTATACTGTTAAATCTTTTATTAAGAAGAGACATAAAAAAGAAAATACCACTCAGCTAATTAAAAAGGAAGAAAGAAGAATTCTTGATGTAAATCTCTGCCTCTGGTCACTGTTATCTTAGTGATGTCATTTCATATATTATGTCTTGTTTACTCAAGACATAAAATGAAACAATAAAACACTATACGGAAACTAACACAGGAAGTAAAATCATTAGTGTAAAGCTTGGTGTTTCATATACAGAAAGTCAATAAATATTTGATTAAAATAAACATTACACAGAAATATTTTATAACATTAAATATTTTACAAAAAAAAAAACCCACAGACGATACTGGGCAAACTGGAAACTTCTATGTATTTTCACTTTCAAAGTTATTCATTTTATCCAACATGGATTTGATTTTTAAAGGCACAAATTATAAGAAAATAGATCAATTATTAGGAATTTAATTCAAACTAGTATTTCCAGGATATGCCATAAAGTCAGTACAGGTTCAAGCTAATCTCCTACAATTTACACATCTACTCTATGAACCAAATTATTTTATTAATTAGGATACACCGTTCCCTAACCGTCCCATATAACTTTAGTTACAATAATTTGCAAACACAACCATAGGCTGCTGTAATAACATTAATTCTAAAACTTTTTAAAGTTTTTTTTTAAATTAAAAGGATATACCTGATGGGATTAAAAACGTGGTATATACATACAGTGGGATATTATCCAGCCTTAAAAAGTAAAGAAATTCTAACACATGCCACAAGATATTATGCTAAATGAAATAAGCCAATCACAAAAGGACAAATACTGCATGATTCTTATATGAGGCATCTATCCAGAGCAGTCAAATTCACAGAAACAAAGGAGAATGTGGTTTCTGGGGCCTGGGAATAAAGGTAAATGGGGAGTTGCTATTATTTAATGGGTACAGGTTTCCCTCACTATCCCAAGGTAGAAGGTTCCTATCAAACTCCCTGTAAGCTAAAATAGCATAAAGCAAAGAAACAACAACCATGAATTTACATGGAAAAATTTTTGAGGTTTCCCAGACCCAAGCAATAACCTCTCCTAGGCTTTTCCGATACCTCAGGATACATCTTGCTAAAAGATGCACAAAAGAAACGGAGATAAAGCACAGATGCTCCCAGACACAGTTCAAGGCTCCGGTGGCTTGAGGCTGAGATGCTGAGTGTGGCTCCCGGGGAAGGAGCTAGGCGGGGCCCCCTCATGGCTGAGGTTGGGGGGCTGAGCGCTGCCTCTATAATGACTTGCTGCAGAACAAACGCTGAATGCTACTTTCACTTTTTACCTTTTTTTCATAAAAGCAGGAATCCTCTTTGGATTTCTCTAGGTTAGAGAAAACAGGTAGGTCTTTCATAAAAACAAAGTGGCGTAATGCAAAATTATCAAAAAGCGGGGGATACCTTTTAGAGTTTCAGCTTTGCAAGATGAAAAAGTTCTGGAGATTGGTTGCAAAACAATGTGAACATACTTAACAATACTAAACTGTGCATTTAAAAATAATTAAGATGGTAAATTTTATGTGTATTTTACCACAATTTTAAATTTTTTAAATTAAAAAAAAAGAATATATCTGACAAAGAAGAAAACAGAGATGGCAGCCTCAAATCTCAGGGTAGGAGGAGACTCTGAAGATCACATAATCAAACACCCACCAAGCAGTCACTTAGCATGAGGGAATTCACAGCTCTCCAATCCAGAAAGCAGTTCTATACACTGATTCAAGAATCTATTTCTGGGCATTTGCCAATTATCCGTGCTGGTTCTAATTTCTGAGGCCCCTCTTCCACATGCAAATCCTTCAAAACTTGAAAATATCAATCATAAGAAACATATGCTATGGTATTTAAAGAGTTTAAGTCTTTACAAACTGACAAACGGAGTCAAATCTTGGTTCCATCTCTTATTAGCCATGAGACCTCAATTAAATTTCTTAGCTTTACTAAGCTTCATTCTTCCCATTTCTGAAATGGGTAATTATTTTTCCTACCTCATATGATTGTTTTTGAGGATTAAATAAGATAACATATGCATGCTCTTTAGTGTCTGGCTTACAGTGGCACTCGATAAATGTCAGCTTCTAGGAGCACCTGGGTGGCTCAGTCAGTTGAGTGACTGACTCCTGATTTCAGCTCAGGTCATGATCTCAAGGTCCTAAGATCCAGGACCGTGTCCGGCTCCATGCTGGGCATGGAGCCTGCTTGGGATTCTCTCTCTCCCTCTCCTTTTGCCCCTCCCAACCCCCTGCTCATGCTCTCTCTCTCTCAAATTAAATAAATAAATTAAAACTGTTTTTTTAAAGATTTTACTTATTTATTTGACAGAAACTAAATAAACAAACAAATTTCAGCTTCTATTATTATTGTTGCACTATTTCTCCCAACTGCCCACCCAATCTTTTCATCTCCAGGTTAAATGTCTCCAACTCTTTAAACTCATTACTTGAGGAAACACTGTTTCACATTATCTGTAACATCCTGTTCACTCTTCTCTGGACACAGTGTGATATGTCAGTGCTTCTTAAGTATGGTTCTCGGAACTGGATACAATCCCCAGGGTGCAGTCTGACCAGAGCAGCAAAGGGCAGAACCGTGCCCTCCCTAGCCCAGAGGGTACACTACAATTCAATTACTGTAACCTAAGATCTTGCCAGTTTTCTTCGCAGTCACATCACACAACTGATTCGACTCAAACTCCCAAGTATCTTCTACATACAGTTAAGCTGTCTTCTATAATAGTACAATTGGATTTTTAGCATCAAGTGAAAAATTTAGCACTGATACTTAAATTCAATCTTGCTAGTCAGCTCCCAACAAACACACCAGTCTAAAACAAAGTATAATCATTACTAAAACACTGGCCAACAGGGACACCTGGGTGGCTCAATCGGTTAAAATACTGGCCAAAAAAACAGTTTAAAGGAAATGCATTTTTATGATATCACACACCATCACAGGCAGAGAACGTGGCTGCATACGTTACAGAAACTAGTAAAATCTTTACTAAATCTAATTTTTAGTAATATCTTTACTAAAAATAATTTGCAGCGGCGCCTGGGTGGCTCAGTCAGCTAAGCGTCCAACTCTTGATTTTGGGTCAGGTCATGATCTCAGGGTCTTGTGATCCAGCCCCACACTGGGCTCCGAGCTCAGCAGGCAATCTGCTTGAAATTCTGTCCCTCTCCCTCTGTCCCTTGCCCCTTACTCTCTCTCTAAAATAAATAAATCTTGGGCACCTGGGTGGCTCAGTTGGTTAAGCGACTGCCTTCAGCTCAGAACATGATCCTGGAGTCCCGGGATCGAGTCCCGCATCGGGCTCTCTGCTCAGCAGGGAGTCTGCTTCTCCCTCTGACCCTCTTCCCTCTCGTGCTCTCTCTCTCTCATTCTCTCTCCCTCTCAAATAAATAAATAAAATCTTTAAAATAAAATAAAATAAAATAAATAAATCTTAAAAAAAAAAAAAAACAGGGGCGCCTGGGTGGCTCAGTCAATTAAGCGTCTGCCTTCAGCTCAGGTCATGATCTCAGGGTCCTGGGATGGAGCTGTGCATCGGGCTCCCTGCTCCGCGGGAAGCCTGCTTCTCCCTCTGCCTCTGCCCCTCCCCCCGCTCATGTGCTCAGTCTGTCTCTCTCAAATAAATAAAATCTTTAAAAAAATAAAAGATTACATGCTTCCAGTTGATGATGGCAAAGGAAAGCACTTCTGTCAGTATCCTTCCTAAAAACTGGGGAGGGGAGGTAATAAAAATAGGGGAAAAAAAGAGCTACATTCCCTAACTACAATTTATGAAAAATTACTGCCAAATGCAGCAAAACTTGTATCCAATTGAAGAAGCACAGT